TTTTCATGAGTTCTCATTTGTATGAGAATTTGTCTCCAAAGGTGAGACTTTAGGTAAGTTAGTTAATCTTGCCTGTTTCCAAATCTTTGAAGTGGCTAACTATCTTATATGATTGCTGTGAGGCTGAGAAATGAAAATAAAGTACATGGTACGGTGCCTGGTACTGCTTGTCAGAGCTGTTGATTTCACAGAAGGTAAGCTTATTTGCCAATAAAAGAGGAAGTTATTCCTTGAGGTCCAAGAATTTCATATTTGGATACTGGCCTGGACCTTCTATGTTCCTTAGTTCTAAGTCAATGAATAACCTACTATTCCCTCCATGATATTGCTGGACCCACTTCATCCTTCCTGGAAGGTCATGGATACATAGTATTCTTGCTGTGCAGTGCAGACACAGCATCTCACCGTATGTGAGGCTATCCAGGTCTCCTCAGCATAAATGGATGTTTTAATTTAAAATTGGCCAGAAAATGCCTGAAGTAAACAAAATAACTGGGCATATAACCTTGGAATTTGGCTTAGTGAGACCAGAGATGGGAGGTAAAGAGTGTTATAATGAGCAGAATGATAGAATAGTGTTAAGAAACTAGTGTTCAAGTGCTAGTTTGCCACTTTTTTTTTTTTTTTTTAACCCTGGGGAGCTTTACCATTGAGCCACATACCCAGCCCTTTATATTTTTTTATTTTTGAGACAGGGTCTCACTACTGCTTAAGGCCTCAATAAAGTGCTGAGGCTGGCCATGAACTTGAAATCCTCCTGCCTCAGTCTCCCAAGTATCTGGGATTATAGGTATATGACACCACACCCAGCTAGTTTGCCACATCACACCCGGCTAGTTTGCCACATTTAGATGGGTAAGCAAGTTCCTTCACCTCTCCTGGCCTCTTTTATAAAATAGGGGTATATACTAGACTAACTCTAAAGTTCCTTTTTTAACTCCAGGCTCAATGATTTGAGTTGCAGACACAGCACAGTGGAACAGCACTTGCTTGCCTAGCACTCGCGAGGCCCTGGATGCAATCCCCAGTACCACCAATAAATACAAATTTTAAAAAGACTCAATGATTCAATGAAAATGATGAAAGTCAAGAGGATAATGGGCAGAATCAAAGGAGATAAAAAAATTATGAGTCTGGGAGGAAAAAAAAGAACAAAGAATGTAAATATGAAGGGAAAACTATGGATTAATAAGAGAAAATATTAAGTCAAACATTATCCATAACAGTACAGACTGGGAGGATAAGCTGGGCTGAAAGCCTAGGAAAACACCAGTGCAGGAAACTTCTAACGGGTCAATAATTTAAAAGATCATTTATCACTGAATTGCAGTATCAGTCAGAAAGAACCCTGTTTCTTCAAGGACTTGAGAGCTGAGAGAGAAAGCATTTGGAGACTTGAAGAAGAAAGAACTTCCAAAATCACTGAAAACTAGACTCCTCAGTCATCCTGTACAGTTATGAACTACTCACATCAGAGGTTAAGAACCCAGATGGACGACAGGCTGCCTGGGTTCAAATCCTGGCTCCAAAACAATAGTCTTAGAATCTTGAGCAAATGACCTCATCTTACTGTGACTTCATCTGTAAAATGGGCATAAAACCTGAATCTACCTCATAAAGATGTTGTAAAGATTAAATGAGCCAACATATGGAAATACTGTTAAACTGGTGAGTACTAAATAACCAGCAGCTTCTTTACTTATTTTCTGCTGCTGAATGTATTGTTCCCATAACTCACTACAAAGTCACTTCCATCTTCCTCATCAAGAGGAAGGAGGAGGGTGGGATTTCCTACCCAAGGCCGAAACCTAGAAAGAGAACCCCACTTCTGTTGGCTTTTTGTTCCCTGGGTGGAGTCAGGAGGAAAACCCACCAGAGCTCAGGAGGAAACCTCTTACCATTGGTGGTCGTGCCTCTAGAACATCAAGTTGCCACTGTCGTTCCCAAGGTGCCACTGCAAGGAGCACCAGCTGACCCTGGGAGCATCAGACAAGCCGCACTTAAGGAAACAATATGCTCACAGGGTTTCCTTGGGGAAATCTGCCAGAGCATTCTACTGCCTTTATTTCAAAGGTACTGCTAGCAATCCTTAGCTGAAAACAGTTGTTGGTTGTTTTCCTTTTTTTTTTAGCCAGACTTTAAGAATCATAGTTTTACTTTTCCAGCCCTCTTAAAGGCCTAGAGGTTCCTACTTCTCACACCCAATTCTATTTACCCCTCATATCATTATGCTATCTTAACTTTCCTTCTAAATACCCTGCAAAACACTGTTGTGTTTACAACTTTGCAGAACTACCACACAGGAAAATATGGTGAGTCAGTATCTACACTTCTAAGTCAAATCAGTACTTTTATAGAATCAACATTAATGAGCTAAAACCATATACTTCCATGGACTCACTGGATTTCAATCTGCAGGGCAAAATACTAATTTTAAGTGGGGGCTGGGGTTGTGGCTCAGTGGTAGAGTGCTCGCCTAGCATGCATGAGGCACTGGGTTCAATCCTCGCACCATGCGTGAGGCCCTGGGTTTGATCCTCAGCACCACATAAAAATAAAATAGAGATATTGTGTCCACCTAAAACTAAAAAAAATAGATATATTTCTTTAAAATTTTAAATGGACCAAATAATTAGGATTTCTGACAAGACACTGAAGTTTCTTAAACTTTTAAACTATAATTTAGAGGAGGAGCAATCATTGTCCCTTGATCAATTCTCATTTTTTAGCTTGTCTATGAAGACTTTCTCTAATGAATCAGGAGAAAGAACCATCAGCCAGGCCCTGTTTACTTCATCCCACGTGCCAAAGAGCAGATACCTCTTCGGAGGCTGTGAGGGGAAGACCGTCAGCAAAGGAGAAGGATGTGTCTGGGCTAACTGACAAGGTCTCTGGTTCTTTTCTCCAGATGCCCTGGACCTTCCTGACAGAAATTAGAAACTTAATTTTTGAGTTATATTGATGACATTCAAAAATAATCTTCCCAATAAATATAAGAAAGTTATATCTAGAATTTAAAAACTAAATATGTGAGCTGTTGACTTAAAAGGAAAAAAACAAAAACCCAAGACACTTTTTTATCTTACAATGTTCCCTTCCTCTGGTTTGGTATTTTTTCAAAAAATTTTTTTTAGTTGTAGATGGACACAATACCTTTATTCATTTATCTATTTTTATGTGGTGCTGAGGATAGAACCCAATGCCTCACCCGAGCAAGGCAAGCACTCTAACCACTGAGGTACAGCGCCAGTGGCCCGCCCCTAATTTTGTATTTTTACTTATTTTTCATGGGCTAGGGATTGAATCCAGGGGCATTCTACTACTCAGCTACATTCCCAGTCCTTTGTTATTCTGAGTCAGGGTCTCACTAAGTTACTGAACTTGTGATCCTCAAACTTATGCTCCTCCTGTTTCAGCCTCCTGAGAAGCTGGGATAACAGGCATGTACCACCACACCTGGCTCCTTCCTCTGATTTTGATTAATTTTGGAAATCTTTTCATGACTTCCTCAAATGTACAAAAATAGCTTTCAAAGGAAACCCAATTCAAGTGATAATTTTTATGACTGATTAGGTTTTGGCTTAAAGAATGGCATTATAATTAGAAAGCTTGGCTTAAACTAATAATTTTTTTTTCCTGAAAACATATTTCCTAAAAGTTATCCTAAATCCTACAGGTTTCAAAACAGTTACACACAAAAAAATTCTACATTTGTGATATCAATGTATACATTTCCTATATATCCAAATAATATAAAAAAAAACACAAAAAAGGAGAGAGGGGCTGAGGGTGTAGCTCACTAGTAGAGTGCTTGCCTGGTGTGCACAATGCTCTGGGCTTGAGCTTTGGTACTGAAAAAAATTCCCAAGATCCCTCTATTCTTTCTCAAAAAATAAATTTTAAGTCTTATCACATGTTCACTATCTCAAAAAGAAACCCTTCAAATGGTCCTGGCAGACTAGAAATTCCTACACTGTCATTGATGCACTGTTACTAAATTTAAGTGTTTCTTAAACTTGATGTGTATCAAAATTGATGCATTCGGGGCTGGGGTTGTAGCTTAGTGATAGAGCACTTGCTTAGCATGTGTGAGGCACTGGGTTTGATTCTCAGCACCACATAAAAATAAACAAATAAAATAAAGGCATTCTGTCCATCTACAACTACAAAAAAATTTAAAAGAAAAAAACAAGCTGAACTCTGACACTTTCAGTAAATTAATAGTTATATATTAAACATCCATTATGGATAGGGACCATAGGAGAGAAAGCAGGGGAAAAAAATTAGTCAAATCCTTCATAAACATTCATTCTCAAGATGTGTGTTCTAGTGAAAACACACCACATAGATGTGTTTCTCTGGTAAGTTTCTTAATTTCTCTGAGCCTCAGTTTATCCATCTGCAAAACAGAGATAACAAAACCCATCTGTTATGGTTTGCATGTGAGGTGTCCCCCAAAAGCTCACAGTGAGACAATGCAAGAGGGTTCAGAGGGAAACTGATCGGGTTATGAGAGCCTTAAACCAATCAGCAAATTAATCCCCAATAGGATTGACTGAGTGGTAACTAGAGGCAGGTGGGGTGTGGCTGGAGGACGTGAGGCATGGCTTTGGGGTATTTATTGGTATCCAAGGGGACATCTTTCTCTCCGATTCCTGGTCATCATGTGAGCTGATTCCCTCTGCCACACTCTCTGCCATGATGTTCTGCCCTTCGTGGAGCCCCAAGGAATGGAGTCTACTCTCTATGGATTTAGACCTCTGAAACTTGTGAGCCCTCATATAAACTTTTCCTTCCCTAAAATTGTTCTGGTCAGTTCTTTTAGTCACAGAAGTGAATAAACTGACTAAAACACCATCCTATAGAGTTTTAGTGAGGACTGAATTAAATAAGACAATATAGGAAAGATGTCACTCATTAGGTTTCAATAAATGTTACTTCCTTTCCCATCAAATACTGTCAGGAAAACTATCTCATAGGTAGTAGATGCAGCACTCTACCTGGAAAGGGTCTGTCTTCGTCACCCCCACGCAGAGAAACTCCCTTATTTTCTGGCATATATTTCTTGGTAATGGGCAAGGACATCAGCCGAATGTGATGGATGAGTGAGCGCCAGGTATGAGCGCCAGAAAGCACTGGTTCTGGTGCTAATGGGCTGAAAGGTTGAATCACAAAGTAGGCAGTGAGCATGATTAATCCCAGAGTTACAAGGACCTACAAGGAAAGATTAGAAAAAGATTAATAATTGTCCCAACAACAAAATACCTTAAGGCCAAGAAAAAACACAGCCCTTTTCTGATACTTCCAGAAGAATAAATCTGCTTTCATAAACAAGCCATTTACTTTCACTTCTGAAAGCATTTAAAGTTTGAGAACTAGGAGGACCCGAAGGCTCACCAAGTCCCTATCATACAATCAGAGGTTATATCTACCACTCAAAAACATACACAAATAATTTCATTATAAACATACAGTTTTCATCTGTGATGATGAACAACATAGTCAAATTTTCCAGTAACAAAACAACAAGAGCAAAGGCCAATTTATTCATAGAAAAATCAAGTTTCAAATGGTAGAATCAGTCAACAATATGTGGGACAATGTTGAAGAGTTTGTGCTCAAAGTGATTTTATTTTTACCTTATACACAGCTATAAGGAGAGGATACTGGGGTGGCCCCCTCTGAGGTTCATTCTTTTCCAGCAGCTGTCTGATAAATTTTTCGATTGCCTTCTCTGACATGCCACATTGATGGCCTGTCTGTCTCACCAAATCAACAGTCTCTGAAAGTTTGTCATAAATGCTGAGCTCATTAGCAGCAAGATCCATATCTTCCAATACAAAATCCCTGAGAAATAGAAAATAAATGTAAAATAAAGGTGGCTTCATTAAAGTACTCCTCCTCAAGGCTACTTCCTTTAGAGCAGTGTTTCTTCACCCTCTGAGATAAAGGACCAGCTTTATGTTATTCCCAATCTACTATAGATACTCTTATTAAACATAGTAAGAAAGATGAGACAATGTCAAACTATTACATTTATTTGTTTGTTTAAGATGGGATCTCATTATGTTTTCCAGGATAATCTTGAATTCTTGGAATCAAGTGATCCTCCTGCCTCAGCCTCCCCAGTAGCTGGAAGTATACACATGCACCACTGCACCTGGCTTTTTGCAAGTTTTTCAATGTTATTCAACTGTGGGCTAGTAACATCCTACATAGCAGCATCTCTCTCAAACAATTTCACTAGCTTTCAAACACTTTAAGGAGCACTGGTTTGGAGCATAATAAATCCCTAATGGGACCCTGAAGCACGATGACATCCAAAAAGATTTCTGAAACAAATCCCAGAAGATATCCTACTGGTCGTTTACCAAAATAAACATAAATGGAATACGGACAATGATGTTGATAAGTTATTTCTATACAATTCCACCAGGGCTGATCTTTAAGCAACACAAGAGGAGGAACTGATCTGAAAACCAAGCAAGGGTTTCAGACAACCAAAAACTATGGCATGGGAGCTGTTCACATCTTGCAGCTTCAGGCCTGTGGCATTCCATAAACAGGATTTTAGACAATATATGGCATTTCATTTGTACTTTACTTAAAAAATCTAAGGTTTTCACTAATTTCAAATTTTGATTTGTATTATTTCAAAGCCAAATTGTTCAGTGGCCACACAATAAATGGTAAAACCTCTCTGTACCATTTGAAAAGTGAAATCAGATACATGTTGTGTTTCACACACTTCGTTCCCAAAGTGCTTCTAACCTCAAAAAGCTCTGACATGACACACATGCATTCTTTCAGTAAGAAGATGCTGCCACCTGTAGGGTGGCTTCAGCAGACAAAAGGAGCCTTGAAATCTCACAACCGTGGACATGCATCAGGCATCCTGTGTTCTAGCTGAGTGCCTCAAAACAACTTTGCTTTTGCTTAAAGTGTTTTATTTTAATTTTTTTTGGAGTTGTATATGAAGAGAATGCCTTTATTTTATATATTTATTTTTATGTGGTAGTGAGGATTAAATCCAGTGCCTCACACATACTAGGCAAGCACTCTGCCACTGAACTTTGTGCCTCAGCACAAAGTTCTTTTTTTTTTTTTTTTTCCTCCAGACCATTTATGCCTTCATTTTAACATTTGGATAAAAGGCATTTGGGATGCTATTTAAAAATGTGTATCTTTGGCCAGGCATGCTGGCATGAGCCTGTAATCCCAGCTTCTCAGGAGGCTGAGGGAAGAGGATTGCAAATTTGAGGTCAGCCTAGACAATTTGCCTCAAAATAAAAAAATAAAAAGGGTTGGGAATGTAGCTTAGTGGAAAAGCATTTGCCTAGCATACATGAGGTCCTGGGTTCAATTCCAGGACCAAAAGAAGAAAGAGTGTATCTTCAACAAATGGTGCTGGAACCACTGGACAGCTACATGTAAAAGAATGAAATTAGATCCGTCTTTATACTATAAACAAAAATTAACTCAAAATGGATCAAAGTCCTAAATTCATAAGCCAAAACTATAAAACTCCGAGAAGAAAACATAGGGGAAACATTTCATGATATTGAATTAGATGTTGGTTTCTTAGGTATGACACCAAAAGCATACTAAGCAGCAAAAGAAAAAATAAGGGGCTGGGGATGTGGCTCAAGCGGTAGCTGGGTTCGATTCTCAGCACCAAATTCAAATAAGATAAAGATGTTGTGTCCACCGAAAACTAAAAAATAAACATTAAAAAAACTCTCTCTCTCTTTAAAAAAATAAAAAATAAAAATAAACTGGATTTCAACAAAAAATTAAAAATGTCTATGCTGCAAATGATAACATCATAGAAATGAAACGGGGCTCGGGTATAGCTCAGTGCTTAGCAAGTGCTTAGTATGTGTGAGGCCTTGGGTTCAATCTCCAGCACCATCAAAAGAAAAGAAAAGGAAAAGAAGAAAGTTAAAGACAACCACACATTGGAAAAAAGTATTTGTAAATCGTGTATCAGTAAGGGGGTTGTATCCAGAATACGTAAGAATCCTTAAAAATCAATAATAAAAAGACAAAAAAACATAAGCAAAAGAATAGGCAAAAAACAGCAGTTTCTCCTAAAAAGATGTACAAATGGCAAATAAGTACATGAAGAAATGTTCAACATCTTTAATCATCAGAGAAATGCAGATTGAGCTGGAAGTGTGGGTCAGTGGTAAAGCACTTGCCTAGCACACACAGAGTCTGGGGTTCCATTCCCAGCACTGAAAAAAGAAAAAAGAAAAGAAAAAGAAAAAAACCCACAGAGAAATGCAGACCAAAATCATAATGGGATACCACCTCAGGATGGCTATGATAAAAAAAATCAGCTAAGTGTTGGTGAGGACATGGAGCAACAGGAACTTGCATGCAAGGCTAGATTACATGCCTGTTAGTCTATCATTAGTACAGCAATTCGGATTTAACTGGTATGGGCAGGTATGAGCATTTATTAAAGCTCTTTAATGTGCAGGCCAAGTTAAGACCTAAACCAAACGTTTAAAGGCATAAAGGGGACCAAACAGAATGGGTCTTTGAGAGGTGCTCTGCTGGAACAGGAGATACACTGATGGGTGCTGAGCTGTGACATTTCAGGCCTCCCTTTCTCTCTTGGAGCAACATGATTGTTGTTCTCTATCTTACAGATAATGACACCTTACTGAAAGAATACATGTGTACCATGTCAGTGCTTTTTCAGGTTTCTGGTATGAAATATGTGAAGTGAGTGGACAGTACACTGTTGTAGAAATGTAAAACAATATAGCTGCTACAGAAAACAGTCGGAATTTCTCAAAAAGTTAAACACAGAATTAACATATGACCCAGCCATTCTACTCCTAGGTATACACCTGAAGAAACTGAAATATGCCCACATAAACTTGTACATGTGTGGGGCTGGGGATGTGGTTCAGGGGTAGAGCACTTGCCTGGCCTGGATTCAATCCCCAGCACCACCAAAACCAAAAAAAAAAAAAAAAAAAAAAGAAAAAAAAACTGGACACAGTGGCACATGTCTATAATCCACACACACATGTATAATCCCAGAAATTCAGAAGGCAAAGGCAGGAGGATGGCAAGTTTGAGGCCAGCCTCAGCAACTTAGTGAGATAACATTTGGATAAAAATAAAATGATAATGACAGGGGCTGAAGTTGTGGCTCAGCGGTAGAGCGTTCACCTAGCACGTGCGAGGCCCTGGGTTCGATCCTCAGCACCACATTAAAATAAATAAATAAATAAATAAAAAATAAAGGTATAAAAATTTTTAAAAATGATAATGAAAATAATAATAATAATAATAGGTCTGGGGATGAAGCTCAGTGGTAAAGTATCCCTGGATTAAATCCCCAGTACCACATACACACACAAAAAAAATATTGCATGAATAGCAGCATTATTTCTAAAACAAAAGCAACCTAATGTCAATGAATGGATAAACAAAATGTGATTAAGTGGGCTGGGGCTGTAGCTCAGTGGCATAGTACTTACCTGGCATGCATGAAGCACTGGGTTCGATCCTCAGCACCACATAAGAAAAATTAAAATAAACAAATGAGGGGCTGGGGATGTGGCTCAGGCGGTAGCGAGCTCGCCTGGCATGCGTGCAGCCCGGGTTCGATCCTCAGCACCACATACAAAGATGTTGTATCCGCCGAAAACTAAAAAAATAAATATTAAAAAATTCTCTCTCTCTCTTTAAAAAAAAATAAATAAAATAAAATAAACAAATGAAATAAAGGCATTCTGTCCATCTACAACTACCAAAAAAAGGATTAAGTACCAATGTATGCAACACCATGGATGAAAGTTAAAAACAGTATGCTAAGTGAAAGAATACAGTCACAAAAGACCATTTATTGTACAACTACATTTATATAGAAAATAAAAAATAGGCAATCAATATAGAGAGAAACAGATTAATAAACCAGGCGTGGTGGCGCATGCCTGTAATCCCAGTGGCTTTGGAAGCTGAGGCAGGAATATCTCAGAGTTCAAAGCCAGCCTCAGCAACATGAGGCACTAAGCAACTCAGTGAGACCCTGTTTCTAAATAAAATACAAAATAGTGCTGGGGATGTGGCTCAGTGGCCAAGTGCCCCTGAGTTCAATCCCTGGTACCCACCAAAAAGATTAATAAATAGTTGCCTAGGGGAAAATAGTGGAGAGAATGGGGAATGACTGGTAATAGGCACAGGGTTTCTTTCCAGAGTTACAAAAATGTTTCTAAACTTAAACTGCATTGATGACTACACAACTTTCTGTATATATTAAAAGTCACTGAATTATACATTTCAAATGGGTGAATTTTGTGACATATAAATTATATCTCAAAAAAGATGCCTTAAAAATGTGTACTTATAGAATTTGAATCTATCCCTATTGCAACATTTATAACACTACTATTTTCCTATGTTCTACCCCACCCATTGTCCAGCCACTAGATTCTAAGGTCTATGAAAGCAGGAAATAGCTCATGGATCCTAACTATGGTAATTGTCTGGAATAAAAAAGGTATTTGCATATACTTGTTGATAAAGATAACAAAAAAATGGGTAGACGATGGTGAAACTACTGCCAAGGATTTAGAAATCCATCTATTAAGAGTTTTTTTTTTCCCCAATAGAAAGTCTCTTAATGCATATGCTTAACAACTGTCAATTGCAACTGCTAACTATTTTGTTAGATAATCACTTCAGGTTCCAATATCTTGATTTCGAGGTTGGGGGAGTAACTTATCTGAGACCATCCAGTTAGCTGTCACCTGAGCTGCAATAGGACCTCACATTCTTTTCATTAAGCTATTCTGGATTAGCAGTCAGAAGGGATGGCAAAGCATTAAGAGTCATACCAACACCACCACCAATCAAAACACCCCAGAAATTAATATATATCCAATTAGTAAGTCAGGAGAAGATCTCTGGGAGATGAGATTATAGTTGATTTTTTTGGGTGCTTTTTCATATTTTCTAAACTTCCTGTATTAATTTTATAACCAAAAAAAATACCACAGCTACTCTTAAAGAACATCACTGGGCACAAAGTGAGTCAGAGATTGACAACAGATAATTGTGGGGCTATATGTTGCTACAAAGATTCCCGCAAAAAGAGTAAAGTGATAAATCATTACAGTATTTTTCACATCTTGGTTTTGTGACCAGTGATCCCAGAGGCAACATTTTTGTTGTTGTTGTTGTTCAAACTGGGGACTTCTTCCCCCCCCCCCCCCGCCCCCGCCAGTGCTAGGGATTGAACTCAGAATATCACATACCCTAAGCAAGTGCTTCACCATTGAGTCATACCTCTATCATCAAACTGGAGACATTTCTGACTGTCATCCAGAAGGATGCTATTGGCATTTTGTAGGATGTGATGTTAATTGAACAACAAAATCTTTTTGTCTCTTTTATTAAAAAAAAAACACCACCACAAAATCATGGCTAAGCATCAAGCATGAGAGGACTGAATGAAATCAGCTGAGGCTTAATGGAAGTCCATTTACCTCCAGAAAGAAGGTCCAACTCTGGCAGAAGTAAGCTTTGCCACAGAGGGAAGTTCAGAAGAGTGAGCTTGATTCTTAACAGTGGCTTAAACCTGAAAGGGCAAGGCATGATCACTAGTGGAGTTACGAATTCAAGGTATCACGCATCATCCTGGACACACAGTAGTTCTGCCTAAATTGTGGGGAATCCACTTCAAGACCCCCAATGGATGCCTAAAACCATGGATAGTACCAAACCTTATATATACCATGTTTTCCCCTATGATAACGTTCAACTTACAAATCAAGCACAGTAAGATATTAATAATAACTAATATTAAAATAGAACAATTATAACAAAAAAACTGTGATAAAAGTTACACGAATGTGTTCTTTCTCAAAACATCTTATTGGATTATTCTCACCCTTCTGGTGATGATGTGAATGATACATGTCTACATGATGAGATTAAGTGAGAATGAACACAGGCACTGTAACATAGCATTAGGCTACTATATAAGCTGCTTGATCACAAGCACTGCCATACTGCAACAATCTGATAACCTACATGGTTACCAAGTAACCAATGGGCAAGTGGTAGGTGACAGGTAGCATGTGCAGAGTAGATATACTAAACAAGAGATGACTGACACTCTGGCTAAGACAGCACTTAACAGCACACAATTTAAAACATAAATTTTTTTATTTCTTAATTTTTCCACTTAATATTTTCAGATCACAAGTAATTGAACTTGCCGGAACAGGGACTATTATACTGAACTGCCAGTTCCTCCATTAGTAGGACTCAGGCACAGAAGCTTTTAAGCCTCTTCCTCACTGATTAATGGTACAGTACTGTTTTAGAACAGTAGTTTTCAACTAGGAGTGATTCTGTTCATCAGGGGACATTGGGTGATGTCTGGAAATATTCTGTCAACACTGGAGGAGTGGTATCCAGTGGATAAAGACTAAACATCATACAATGCACAGGAAAGTCACCCCTAACCCTCACCCAACAAAAAGCTGTCCTGCTGAAAATGTTAAAAAAAGCTGAGGTTGAAAAATCTTGCTTTCAAGAGAGGCCTGTGAAGGTCTGGTGATGCAGCTCAGTAGGAGAGCATTTGCCTAGCATGCAAGAGGCCCTGGGTTTAATTCCCAGTACCTCAAAAACAAAATAAAACAAAAAACAAAGAGGCCTGTGGGAGGTAAGCCAGAGAGCTGCTTCACTTCTAAAAGAGTATTTCAGGAATAGGAGAGAAACAATGAACATTTCAATGAGATGTCCTACTCAATTCCTTCTGGTTTCGTCTATGAAGAAACAGGGTAGGGGCAAATCTAACAGAATTACTTGTCAGGAGCTTTGGAAGCCTCGTGGATAGAGACATCTAGTGTCTGGGAAGGACCAGTGGATATTTTCTCTGGTCAGCTGCCCAGGGACAATGTGAATCTTTATCCTGCTCTGCGGTGGCCCAAACAGCACCTGAGATGGGTGTGACCAGCTAAGATGTCAATCAACCAGCTGACTGCAAAACTGCAGGAAGGAAGACTCTGCCCTTGAAACCTTATTCCTGCCTTTGATGTACCCCCTTATATAAACAACCGGAGCCATTTTTTTTTTTTTGGTCTAGTTCCAGAACCTATGTGCACTAGATCTATCAGGGGCTTCACCTTTTGTAAATATATTTCTGAGTATTTGTGTTTTGTTATTCACTAATTATTTGAGATTTTAAGTTTTAGGGTGGCTTAGGCTTCCTCCTAGGCAGGAAGAAGAACCCCCAGTGAGATGCTGGCAGACAATCCCCCGATAATAACTCATAGAACTTACTGATTAAAAAAAAGTGTATTTAAAGCAGAAATCAGATTAGGAGATCAAATTTCACCTTTGCACTGTTTAATAGAGAATAAATACTTCTATTGATACGATTAATATGTCTGGAACATTGATGTGACATTACTCTGGAGGTTCTCAATTTTTTGGACAGCTATGCCAGCTAGGCAACTCTCAGTTACAGTACTGACTCATTCTTTAAAGCACAGAAGGGGAAACACTACAGTTCAGAAAGTTTTAAAGCTCATATAAATATACCCCAATCTTCAACAATCTACTCTCATAACCAGAGTAACAGTAAATGATCTTTTCACTTACTTGGTTCTTTAGTATCCTACTAACTACACAGCATTGTGAGCATTCTTTAGTGTTATGAATGTATTCCATTCTATTTTTCTCATGCTTTCCATTAATTGAAGATATAGTCTAAGGAACAAATATGTTCCTTGGATTTAAATAAAAACTATTAAGAAAAATCCACCATATTTAGAGGAAAACTAATTGATACAATTTTTAAATGATTAATATGATTTAAAAGAGTAATAATTTAAAACAGTACTGAGTGCTTAAAATTTACAATCAAGGTACATTGTGAGTGGGAATGTAAACTGGTACAGCTACTCTGGAAAATAGTATGGAAGTTCCTTAAAAAATTAAAAATAGAGGGCTGGGGATATAGATCAGTTGGTAGAATGCTTGCCTCACATGCACAAGGCCCTAGGTTCAATCCCCAGCACCCCCTCACTCCCCAAAAATTAAAATTAGAACTACTATATGACCTAGCAACTGGTAGGTACACATCCAAAGGAAATAAAATCTAGATCTCTGGATATATATACCCCATATTCACTGCAGCATTATTCACACTGGCCAAGACTGGAAGCAACCTAAATGTCCACTGATGGATTAATGAATAAAGAAAATGTGGTATGTAAATACATGAAATATTATTTAGCCTTTTTTAATATTTATTTTTTTGTTGTAGCTGGACACAATACCTTTATTTTATTTATTTTTATGTGGTGCTGAGTATCGAACCCAGGGCCTCATACTTGGTAGGCGAGTGCTCTACCACTGAGCCTCAACCCCAGCTCTATTATTTAGCCTTTTAAAAGAAAGAAACGTGGCCATTTGTGACAGCATGAATGAACCTGGAAGATACTGTTTAGTGAAATAAACTAGGCACAGAAAAACAAATACAATATAATATTGATTAATAATTAATTAATACAACTTATATAATTAATCTAACATGTTTAAACACAGAACCAGAGGGGCACAGTGATTTCCAGGGCTGGAGACAGGAGAAACTGAAGATAACAAAGTTTTAGTTATACAAGGCGAATTAGTTCTAGAGACATTGTACAGCACAGAGTTCAAGTTAACAATATTGTACTCTTATGCTAACAAGGTAAATCTTAAATGGTTTTAATCATAATAACAAATAAGGAGGCAGGAGAAAACTTTTGCAGGTGAATACCCAGGTTGATGGTACAAACCATGGTGATGGTTTCACTGGTGTATATTTTTCTCCAAACTCATAAAAGTTAGATACATTAAGTATATACAGCTTTTTGTATGTCAATTTTATCTCAATAACATAGTTGAAAATTTTTTAAAAATATGATCCAAAGAAATTCTACTTTCTTAACATTTCAATCTAATGGCCCCCTTTGGGGATACCTCTGCTCAGTGAGACTTAAAGAGTTAATTAAGTTCTTTCACTTGTTCTTTTTCTTTCTTCCTCTTTTCTTTCCCCAATACTAGGGACTGAACTCAGGGGTTCTCTACCACTGACCAATATCCCCAGTTCTTTTTATTTTGTGGCAGGGTTTTGCTAAGTTGCCCAGCATGGCCTTGAACTTGTGAGCCTCCTATTTCAGTCTCCCAAGTCACTGAGATTGCAGTCCTGCCTCATTGCACCCTTTTTTTTTTTTTTTTTTTTGCAATACCAGCAATTGAACCCAGGACCTCATGTATGTTAGGCCACTGCTCTACCACTGAGCAACATCCACAGTCCTAGTTCTTTCTTAACTTTGAAAATATGTCCCTTCCTGATTCAGAGAGAAAACAGCCTTCACATGAACTCATCCTCAATTCTGTATTTCTTTCCAAACTTTTTACTTTGAACATTTCAACCTTCCAGAAAAACAGAAATATTAAAATGAACATCTTTCTTTCAGTTACATTTATCAGTTTGTAACATTTGTCTATATCTGTTTTTTCTGTTTTTAACTAGAATTATTTAAAAGTTAATTGTTAACACATTATGAAATCAGTTCTATATATTTCAGCATGCATCTCCTACTAAGGATATTATTCTATATAACCACTGGCATTATTATATCATACCCAATAAAATTAATAAATTCTCTAATATTACCTAGTATTCTACCTATAGTCATATCCTCCCATTGCCTCCCCTACCCCTCAGACAAAGATCTTATAGCTTTTTCTTTTTATACCAGGGATTGAACCCAGGGGCACTTTACCCTTGAGCCACATCCCCAGCCCATTTTATATTTTATTTGAAGACAGTATCTTGCTGAGTTGCTTAGGGCCTCACTAAGAGGCTGGCTTTGAACTTGTGATCCTCCTGCCTGAGCCACTGAGATTACAGGCACATACCACCATGTCCAGGCCCCCATCCTTTTTAAATTTTTTATTTAAATATTTTTTTAGCTGTAGATGGACACAATACCTTTATTTTGTTTATTTTTATGTGGTGCCAGGGATTGAACCCAGTGCCTCACACATGCTAGGCAAGCGCTCTACCATTGAGCCATAACCCCAGTCCCTAATTTTTTTGTTTTGAGACCAGTTCTAAGTTACTTAGAACCTAAGTAAATTGCTGAAGCTGGTTTTTAATTTGCAATCCTCCTGCCTCAGCCTTCCAAGTTTCTGAGATTATAGGCATATATTATCTTACCAGCAACCTTATAGCTTTTTAAAAAATCTAATATCCAGGGGCTGAAGGTGTAGCTCAGTGGTAGAGCACTTACCTAACATGTAAAAGGCTCTGGGTTTGATTCCCAGCACTGCAAAAAAAAAAAAAAAAAATCAATCCAAGATCCAACCAATAATCACATATATCATCTGGCTGTTGTGTCTGATGTACTTAATCTATAGTAAATTCTGAGAATTATTATTATTATTTGGTCCTTTATGTCATTGACATATTTGAGGCAGAAGCTGCCACATTTTTAAACTTACCTCCACCTGCTCCCTTCCTTGCTTTTCCAGTTTCTAGTACTTAAAAAAAAAAAAATCCTTCCCCTCTAGAATTCCAGTACTCTCAGTACTTTCTCTCACCACAGATAAGCTCCTTGGGGCATAAGGGACACTTTATTTATTTCTTCTTCCTCAAGTCTGTTTGTTCATTAACCTGCTGAAATCACATTTCTGCCTGCCTCACTCTACTGATCCTGCTCTAAGGTTGCTAGTGGCTTTCTAAATGTCAAGTCTAAAGGACATTTATGCAACCTTTCTGCAGCAGCTGTTATGGCTACCCATTTTCTTCCTCACATGTTCTAAAATCTTGGCATAACTCTTGTTCTCTGGCTGAGACTGGCCAGGACACCACAGTTGTCCTTGACCTTCGTCTTATTGCCTCCACAGCTTCAACCACCGGCTATTAATGATTTCCAAATCTCTTCTCCAATCCAGAACTCTCTCCACAGTTCAAGACCCACTCATTTATTTAACTACCTACCAGCCATCCTGATCCAAATTCCCATAGTTTCCTATATGTAATGTGTCCATAATATTTCCCGTTCAACACTTTCTTCCCACTATCTTCCTTTCCTTAATAGAAAAACCAGCCTTTCAAATTAAAAAAATTATCCTCTTTATACCTCATTCTCACCAGACTATCATTAATTCCTCTTGATTCAACCCCCTGTATAATTTCATATCATCACCTTTTCTCTAGCTCCACATTAATGGCACAGGCCAGGCCCTCAATACCTTTTCTATGGACATCATAAAAACGATGTTAATTTCTTTTTTTTTTAACATTTTTTTTTTAGTTGTAGATGGACATCTTTATTTTATTTTTATTTATTTTTATATGGTGCCGAGGATCGACCCAGTGCCTCACATGTGCCAGGCAAGCACTCTACCACTGAGCCACAGCCCCAGACCAAAACCATGTTAATTTCTATATTTCCAGTTCTCTTTTCCAGTCTATGCTCTCTCCTGTGCACGTTCTTTCCTTGAAACACATACTGGCTCATGTCAAACACCTTCCAGAGTCCTTATCAGGCACAGTTTAGCATGGTGGTTAAGGACACAGGCACTGGAGTTGGAAAATAAAAACTGGATGCAAATGCTAGGTTTTTCCACCTACTGTATATCCTCTTTAAGCCTTAGAGCTTTCATTTATAAAACGGGGATAATTATGTCTACCCCACAATGTTAAGACTACAAATGATATAAGTAAAACATCTGTTCCAGACAAACTCAGTAATAATTGTTTTAAGATGAAGTCCAAATTACTCATAATACCCCTTTATGATCTGGTCACTGTCTACCTGCCGAGTCTCATTTCTGCTAACCCTTCCTCATATACTACACTACTGTGCTATTTCACATCTTTTTGCTTTTATAAAGTTTTTTCTGCCTTAAAAACCAAGCCCCCAGTGCTTTGTCCAATAAGTGAACTCCAAGACTCCAACATTAATTTTGCCCTTTGATCCTTATGCAACTGTCACTTTGTATTACATCTATTTCCCTGTCTACCTCCTACACTAAATTGTGAGTTTCTTGAAAGCAGTACTAAATGGGAGAAAACAACTACACAAAAACACTAAGAATGGACACTAAAATTCACCTCAGACATTGGAACCTCATTATTGTTGAGCAAATTTATGGAAAGGACCTAAAGAAAGCATTCTGTTCCCAAACTAACCAAATGTAACTAACAGGTTTTTTTGTTTGTTTGTTTTTTAATTCTTTTTTCCTTTTCTTCTTCTTGTAATGCATCAGCCTGACAAGGGTTTAAGTGAGCAGATTAGGAACCTTAGACCTCGTTTTTGTTTCACAGTAGTTGTAAAGGAACAGGAATTCAAACTGGATCTTGAAAAGTTTTAGTTTAAGGCAGAAAAAGCTTAATAGGGTCTCTTTCTGCTTTCTGGTATGCATGTTGGGCTATGTGAACTTTCAGTCAAAACTACAAAGTGGCAAAATTGAACTTGTTTTTTTTTTTTTTGTCTGTTTGTTTTTGTACCAGGGATTGAACCCAGGGGCACTTAACCTCTGAGCCACATCCACAGCCCTCTTTAGTTTTTCATTTTGAGACAAGTCTCCTTAAATTGCTGAGGCTGGCTCTGAGCTTGCAATCCTCCTGCCTCCAGAATTTCTGGGATTACAGGTGTGCTTGCTCCACCACACCTGGTGAACTTGTTTTTTTTTTTGTTGTTGTTGTTGTTTTTTAAGGCATGTTGTTCTTTAAAGGGAAGCTAAGAACTCAAATTCAAATAAATGATTCTATTAAGGGAGAGAGGTCTAGAAAATTCCTCCATGGGAACTACCAAATGAGCAATCGCAAAGATCCGAATACTAAGAACATGGGAGTAGTCTCTATTATAAAGGTGACTGATGACTACTTTCAAAGAAACATTCTCAAATACCATGCCCACGTGGGCTCTTAGCCCCGAGAAACTGTGGCCTTGCGGGTTAAGTCTTAAAATACTATGACACTTAATTTCCTCATACTAGGAAGTGATCACAAACACCTGGGTTACTCGTGTCAATGCTCCAACACATATTCCTTGGTAAAATCCAACATGCCAGACTTATCACATAACAAGTCCACATTTTTTTAAAAAATATTTTCCCCGTAGCAACTATTAGGAAAAGACGTTTCGGGGAGCGGGGGATCTGCTTTCACTATACTGTATTTATGAAAACAAGAAATCCGTCAAAAGGGCAGTAGAATCTGGACTCGGCTGGCACCGCTCATCTTGGGCACTCTGACGCCTGCGAAGCGCTCAAACGGGGTCACCCTCGTTTCTCCTCGGCGGGGTCAAGGAAAGAGCCGTCTTAAGCGAGTCAACCCTGGGGGGACTGTCCGGGAAAGCTGTCAGTCAGCAAAACGCGACTCAAAAGAAAAGGGGCCGACACTGGGGTGAAAGGTGGCAGCAGCGGCGCGGGAGGGGCTGCGCGAGGATGTCACAGACCCGCACGGCGGCCTCCCCCCCTCCCGGCCTCGGGCCCCAGCGACTCACATGCGGGCCCTCGCCCCCTCGGGCTCCTCCCGCCTCGGGGACATCAGCCGCCGGGCATGGAGGTTGGGCCAATTTCCTGCTTCCGGGAGCACAACCCGGAAGCAACAGCCACACCACAAGCGAGGTCGCACGCTCTAGGGTAGCTTCTCCTTCCCGCCCTGTGCTTCCGCCAAGAACGGAACGCAGGACGCCGCGGGAACTCTCGCGATATCTGGCGAGCATAGGTTCTGGCTCCCCCTGGCGTCCCTCTTGCTGCGTGGCTCTTTGAGTCTTCTGTATTCCTGGCCAGCGTCTGTCTCCCACGTGGACTGACAGCAAGCTTCATAGCAAAACTATCCATTCAACAGTCATTTACTGAGTTCCCTAACTGCGTTCCAGGCAGTGTGATAGGCATTGAGGGATGGGAGCAGGAGGGAGAAGCGCAGCCCTTTCTCAAATTTACACTTGGCCCACTCATTTGTATTTATTGAGAGCTTTCTCCGTGCCAGACATGACTGAGCGCTCTACATGGACAAAACCGCTTCAACAACCCTATGACATAAATAGCCCCATAACGTTTATGCTCATGCAAACCAAACACGCTTAGGGAGAGGTTAACTAGCTGGAGAATGAGCTCACATATAAGGAGTGGTGGGCTCAGCATTTAATCCCAGACTCCTTATCCTGTCCAACTGCATGGCCACAGCTCTTAATTGCTTTCTACAGGAGATATGCAAACAAGATTCTACTGGATTCAGACTAAATGCTGCAGCTACAAAAGCAGTGTGTGATGTGATGCAGGGGTAGGGAAACCAATGAACCAATACAGACCCCAAAATAGAGCCTCACATGTAAATTATACACATTACCTACTGTTGTAGGGACAAACGAGGCAAGGCACCAAAGACAGCAGGAAATAGTTTTATTTGGCTGTAGCCAGGTTCAGAGGGTATAGCCTTTGCTGTAATCAATCAATCCCCTGAACCCCGAGTTCAGGGAGTTTCAGAGTTTTATACCCAGCATGTAAGGGGAGGGGCGCAGAAGTTCACAGTCTGCAGAAGTTCACATAAAAACAGCTTTTTCTTTCACTGTTCTGGGCAAGTTAACTCTTTAAGGACAACACCTGAGAAGGGGAGAGCTTCTTCTCCCCTTTCTTTCCTCCGGCTGCCAGCTGTTACCATGGAGCCCAGTTGTAACTTATTTTAAAAATGTAGACATCTCTGTGAAGCCCCAGCTCAAGGCCAGAGGCCTTGTTTGCACATTTCTTCAAAGTACTATACTTGATATGTTTGTGAAAACTAGTAAGGGGGTGTCCAGCACCAGGAGTGATGGAATCTTCTCGGCCAGTGGCCAAGTAAACAGGGTGACATGAAAATAGGAAGTTTATCTACATTGGACTCTTTTGCAGAGACTCTTTTGCTGACAGTCCCCAAATCAGCCATGGTGAAGAGGGCTTTTCTGTGGAGAAAGGGGATGCCCACTTCACCTACCACCCAGCAATTATACAAGGTATCTACCCCCCCAAAAAAAATCATATACAAGTATCCCAAGACACATATAAGAATATTCGTAGTAGCAGTATTATTTGTTAGAGGTACAATCAGGAAGCCTACAACAGAATATTACACTGCACAAAAAAATGAAAAATGGTCATTGCATACAATTGCATGGATACATCTCCCCAGCATAAGATTAAGCAAAAGAAGGCAGATAAAAAATGTATATTTTATTACTATTTATACAAAATTCAATCGATGATATTAGAAGGCAGAAAGCGCTTTCCTTTGGGGAGGAAGGAAGAGGTAATAATTAGGGGGTGGCCTCTGAGGAGCTGTAAACTTTTTTTTTTTTTT